GTAGGATATACATTCACCGTGTAAGACACTATTCAATTTTTATTATTCCAGTTTTGCCCCTATATCACTAGATATTTCCTACGTTCGATGATGCAGTGAGAATGTGAAAGTTGTATGAGTGTCAGAAAGAAATCTATTAGTATCTTTATGTATTGGTATATCTATGCATAAAGTCGTTCCATACATAACTCTATATTGAATTAATAATTATTGTGATTTCAAAAAATAAGAGAAAAGAAATCTACTAGTATTATATGTGTTATTTCGATATAGTAAAAGTTTGTGTTTTCATGATAAAGTGAATGAGGAAATATGAGAAAATGAAGCGACGGAGAAATCAAGAAAAAAACCAATAGCATCGCTTTAATAGTAGTGTATGTTACAACTTTTGAGTTAAAAGTAAATCTGAGTTTTTGTTCTCTTGTTTCATATTTCGACAGAAAAGCTTCCTCATTTATCGATTTAGATGTTAGTTGCTGGACACAAAACCAAAGAGAAGATAAGTTAATCACCATTAATGGTGATTACGATCAACGGTGGTGATGATTACCGGTGGTATTGAACGATGGCAGTGATGGAAAGTAACAACATACAAACAATTTCCATGTCGACAACGATGATCAACCGCGAATCCATAACGTTTTCCTGAATTTCTAACATAATCGCTTCTACAACTTCCCAATGAGTCTACTCAACGATTTAACTCAGAGAGTTAGCTTGAGTCGACTCAACGAGTTAACTCGGTGAGTTGGTTTGAGTCTATCAGTAAGTTAACCAATTTGTTATTAGATGTTAAATGTTGAACATTGAAGTTGCTAGATAGTTGACTGTTTCCAATCATTAAACATCTACCAACATATTACCGTCAAATAAAATGTTATCCGCTATTATATTTTAAAAATCTATCAATGAATTAAGAAAAGTATTCCAAAAAATACAAAGATAGTCATACTAATGTACAACAAGATATTTCTCTAATGGATTTGATCAGAGAAGATAGTGATTCAACGCCAAACACCATGAATCTCGCATACAAAGCCAAGCATTTGTGAACTCTACGTCCCATATTTGTTATTATGCAATGAAATCAGAGAACTAATTTGTTATCGGCAATAACATATGTTAGATGTATAACATTGAGTTTTGCTAGTTATGTTGAATGTGTTCAATCATTAAACATCTAACAATACATATTACTGATAAATAATATGTTATTCGTTATTTTATAAGTTGGCATTCTAACAATAGATTTAGAAGCCTAGTTCAAAATTTAAAGATAATCATATTAACGTGCTTATAAGAATAGTTCAAAATTCAAAGATAACCATATTTATCCTTGATAGCTTCTGGAGATTAATTATGTTGTCACTGATTAGACACAGTCCATTGTTAACAAAAAAAAATATAAGTAATACATAGTGTGTTCAATCTTTAACATCTAACGATACATATTACTAGTAAATAAACTGTTATCCGCTATTATACATGTTAGAAGTCTAACAATGAATTCACAAGCGAACTCTATTTTACAAAGTAATACATAAATTGAACATATTTAATCATTTAACATCTGAGTTACAAATTACCTCTAACTCAATTGTTATCCTCTATTATATATGTTAGCACTACAAAACAAATTCCAAATATTAAACGTATAAAAAAATAAGTAGCGACCAATGAATTCACTGAGTCCACTCAAAATCAGCTTACTGAGTCACCTCACTCAGTTAACTCAGTAACTCACTGAGTCAACTATAGTTTCTCCGAAATTTTGCCGGAATCTCGTCATATTTTTGGCGAACCTTCGACCTATTGTCGGAGTTTTACGATATATTTGCCGGATTTTTTTTATCATCTCTTCTTTCTTTGACTTCTCATTTTCTTCACCCTCCACCATCTATGAAATCTCGTCCATCTCCATCGCGGTTTTCACCTTCTTCGCCGCTATCATACTCTCTTTCTCCAGCACCATCACCATCTCATCCGCCGTAAAAATCGATAAAAGTCTTATATTTCTTTGCCATGTTTTATGCATAGTTTCATATG